TGGGAGAAAAACTCTGCACCAAGTAAGATATCAAATAGGTTCTTGACATGCCTAGCTGACAATTTCATCATCCAAAAGGTGGAGGAGGGAACTGGACTTAATTCTTACTAATAGGGGTGAAATGGTTGAAGGAGTAGAAGTAATAGGAAGTGGAAGCTATAGGAACTTTGTGAGAAAGTGACAATGTCATCCTAGAATTCATAATGTAGCTACAGGTAACTGGAATGTCAGACTGATGTTTAGATTTTAAAAGAATTGATTTAGCTAACTAAGACTGGAAAGGAATCATTGCCTCGAAATCCTAGAAGAAAACACAGTCCAAAATGCTTGGGAAATTGTGAAAAATGAGATAATAAATGCCCAAGCAAAAACAATGCAAATAGTCCTTGACTTATGGCCCACAACTGAGCCCAACATTTCTGTTGCTAAGCAAGACATTGGTTAACTCAATTTTGCCCCATTTTAGGACATTTCCTGCCATAGTTGTTCAGTGATTCACTGAAGTTGTTAAGTTAGTAACATGTTTGTTAAGTGAATCTGGCTTCCCTATTGACTTTGTCAGAAGGTCACATAAAGTAATCACATTTAATGTCAAGTGTCTGAGATGATGATGTGACCACAGAGATGTTGCAATGGTCTTAAGTGTTGAAAACAGTCATAGGCCACTTTTTTCAGTCTGTTGTAACTTCAAATGGTCACTAGAGAAATGGCTATCAGTCAAGAACTATCTGTATCAGAGAGAAAGAAAAATAAGAGACTCCATTGCTAACACCTAGGAAGATATACTCAAGATTCAGAAGCAGCTTGACAAATTCCAGCCCTATCTAACAAGAGGCAGTTCGTTGGTGAGAAAAGTAAGGTTCTGCATATAGGCATGAAAAATCAAATGCATAGGTTCAGAATAGACAGTATCTGGCCTAATAGTAGCACCTGTAACAGGGGTTTAGGTGTCCTAGTATACCACCATTTAAATATGAGACAGCAGTGTGTTGAAGCTGCCAAAAAAAGCCAATATAATCCTAGGTTGCATCAACGGAGCATCAAGATCATGAGAAGTGACAGAATATACTGCACTGGTGAGTTCACACTTAGAATACTATGTCTAATTCTAGCTACCACAAAAAAAGAAAGAGAGATCCTGAGGCCTTAGAAAGAGTACAGAGAAGAACAACAAAGATGAATAGGAGTCTGAAAGCTAAACCACATGAAGAACGGCTAAGGGAACTAGGTATGCTTAGCCTACTGAAGAGAAGGCTTAGGGGAGACTGAATAGCTGTCTTCCAATTCTTGAGGGACGATTACAGGGAAGAGGGGTCCGTTTATCCTCCAAAGCATCTGAGGGCAGGATCAGCAGCAGTTGGTGGAAGCTTGTTAAAGAGAGATCCAGCTTGGAACTAAGGAGAAATTTCCTGACAATGACAACAATTAGTCAAGTTTGGATACTCCATCACTGAGGTTTTCAAGAGAAGATTGGACAATCGTTTGTGGAAGAAGGACTTTGGGCAGGGGGTTGGACTCAAAGACCTCCAAGGTCACTTTCAACCATATTATTCTATGCCTTCCACCATAATTTCTAAGGCCAGAGATTAAAAGAGCATGACTACTCTGGATTACCAGACAGAATCAACCCTTGACGGGTATGGCTTGTGTCTCCAATGGGATGCCATGCCGTAGGACTTTCTATAGAAGTGAAATTTCAGTTTTAGTCATTCTTTCCACAGGTGGGAGAAAGAAAGTTCCAACTTTATTTTCAAATTTACGGAGTATAAATTTGGGGTGTGGGATTTAAATCTAAACGGTTGAAGTTACATATGGCAAAGCAAGTAAGACTCATTTCCTTCTAAACAGATTTGCCCTGAGAACAAAAAAAATGCCTTACTTTATAAACATGTAAATATATTATTTCTTTACCCGATCAATTATTTGACTTTATAGTTGGGGAAATCATGGTGGATTTTATCCTATTACAAAAGAGAAATTGTATTTGCCAGTGATAAGTTTTTCTGTCACCTCTGTTAATAGGGATCTAAATGTATAGCAAATATAACCATTCTTATTTCACTCATTCTTACTTAACCCTGCAAATGTTACATCAAAATCAGGATGTGACCCATCCTCACTGGACTATCCATATTTTACCACAACCTTTATTTAGGGTTTTGCTTATTTCTTCAGAAATTGGTTGCTTCAGCATTTGTGCTGAATCTTAGCAGTTGTTTTTAGAAGGGTGTTATGGAACATATTAACTAACATAGGAAGGGAAAGGAGGGGGGATTAAATCTTTCCTATTTTCCCCATTATCATCTAAGCAGTGCAAAACACAGCTGCTGCAATCTTTCTGGTTTCTTTACCAAAAGTGTGTGGTATACTGTATACATATCTGTGTTTCTCTGGAAATAATATTAATTTTTGTTCCAAAAGATGCCTTAGGGCTTATTGTCTAGTTAGGGCTTATTTTCAGGGAAATACAGTACTAAATGCATTTGTCTGGCTGACAATCTTAACTGGGGCTCATTTTGGGGTAGGGTTTATATTATGAGCACCCTGAAAAATCATGCTAGGGCTTATTTTCCAGTTGGGTTTTATTTTGGGGGAACAGGTTAAATATACTTGTTTCAGAAGTAATAAAACAGTTCCCCAAATAAATAAGTCATTGCAACTTTGTTAACAATGACTATATATAATGATCTCTGGCAATTAAAAAAATCATTGAAAATGTTTTACTGCCAATTTTTGAACTGAGATATCCTGTGTGTAAGGGAAATGGAGAGCATGTACATACATTCCTATACATGTAACTGATTAAATTTGTGTCCTAGTGCTACAATAGACCTAGTATGCTTCTGAACTTTTGGATGGGGAATTTGAAGTACCCATTTATAGTTCTCTATCTATCTATCTATCTATCTATCTATCTATCTATCTATCTATCTATCTATCTATCTATCATCTATCTAGACAATTGGGTTGTTTGGAGCACCAGTACTGGGTGCCTCAGGGCTTATATACTACTTATATACTGCTTCACAGTGCTTTACAGCAGTGGTCCCCATCCCCCAGACCATGGCCCAGTACTGGAAATGGGCCGTGCAAGTGGCTGGCTGGAGCACACATATATGCAAGCACAGCTAGACGTGCGTGAGCAGCAGGCCAGTAGGCACTCATGCATGTGTGCGCCGACCCACAATTCGCACAAGTCAAGCTGCATGTTTGTGTTCTGGCTTGCCACTTGCGCAATGGCTGTGTGCACATGTGCAGGCCCATCACGCAAGTGGTGCAGTTCCCCTCTCCTGAGCCAGGCTGCCAAGCTGCCATGGTTGGGTATTGCTGCTAATCAATTGCTCTCTAATCAATTTACAAAGTCAGTATATTACCCTCAACAATTTTACTGACCTTGGAAGAATGGAAGTCTGAGTCAACCTTGAGCCATTCAGGATCGAAGGAATCAAATTCCTGGCAGTGTGAGCAGACTTAGCCTGCAATATTGCATGCTAGCCACCACATCACCACGATTCTTCTATGTATCTATCTATCTTCTTATAAATCTATCTATCTATCTATCTATCTATCTATCTATCTTTCTATTTTATTAAGAATTTTTATTATTATAATAAGAAAGATAAAAGAAATATGTAAAGAAGTGACTTCCAACCTTCATTGCAATAAGTATAAGCAAATTTAGTAACTCTTCACTCTCTAAAGTAATGAACATTTATCTCTCCTTCCCATATCCCATTTCTTATTTATAAAACAATCCACAAAAACCATCTTTTCAGTCCTGGTGTTAGCGGGAAGTCCATAAAGGGCTGACAGAAGTAACAACATAGCTTGTTTTACCTGGATCAAATAAACCAACTTTATATTCCTTTTTCTTCCAACATTTTTTAGTTCAGTCAAATATTGTCATAGTATTTGATTTCTCTTCATTTTTTGTTTGTCCTCCTGCTCAGAGTTCTACAAGACTTTAATAAGCCCTTCTGTAAATCCAGTAGGAAAAAAAGTACTATCCAGGTCATTCTTTTGGTTTGTGCTTGTATTTCCCATTGAAATTATAAAGCCTTGGCTAATTTCTTATGTAGATCTAGTGAAACATCCTTTTCTAAGTCATTCTCTTGGCCTCTCACTTGTAAATCTACTTTCAATGCCATCTCTATCTTGTCAAATAAAATTTGGTCTACATCTTTTGGATATAGTATATTGATAATGTTTACTTGAGTAGCCTGCTGAGTCCATGTCTGCATAGTAACCTTATTCAACAACTGAATAGGAAAGTTATTGGGAAAGGACCTGATACTAGTTGAAAGATAGATTTTGATTGGTGAATCCCACTACTGTCTTCTTTGTTTACTTACATAGACTATCCTTTTCAGATGCCTAAGCAGTGCAGTCAGCTCACTACAGTCCTTATAAGAAATTATGTGTTGGCAGAGGAGCAAGTGAGGTTTAAGCTGGTACAGTCAATATATGACCATTGAATTGCACTCTATCATCTCATTAAAAAAAATATTCCCACTACCCTAGATGCATTCTCTCTGCCTCCTTTATTAATGTAAATGTAATTTTTCATTTAATTTCCAAAGAGAGGGTATGGAAAAAAATTAGCAGTGTCTATTGTTGATTGTCAACTATTTTGTCTAATTATGATGCTATGAAAAATACAGAAGCCTTTCTGTACCACTACCACCCCAAGAAAAGCTAAGCAAAAGTGTACCCCAGCTCCATTCTTTTCAGTTTTTAAGTACTGGCCAAAAAAGGGGTTTCATGTTATGAAGGTAGGAAACAAATTACCTTTAGTGGTTATTTATTGATCTTTACGAAAGGACTATGATCCCATTAATTCTTGTACTTCTACAACCAAAGAAATGTACATTCTGCATCGGTTTGAATTACATATTCTTTACCGAAGCTAACTACTCTTTCTCTGTTTTCACTTCCTCTCTACAGAAACATAAGATCAGTACACTAAAGGAAGGGGGTGTGACTTTAGCAATTTGCTAAAGAGAGGGTTGTGGGCTTGTTTTATTTTTATTAGTAATACAGAAGTTACTCTTCAGAAGAATAGGAATTCCACATTTTCACAATTAACAAGAAAACCTGATATCAAACCACAGAGACTGCTTGATGTACGTTTTATATTTCTTTTAACATTTGGGGGGGGGGGGTATTTCTCTCCTTTGAAATGAGATTATTATACTCTACATTGTATAGTTATAATTCATTTACTTTTTCTTTTGAAAAATCTATGAATTGGCATTGCTTTTTACTTATTCTTGTGCTGTGAATTGTCAGCTATTCCACTATTTTTGTTTCCCTGTGGTTTTAACATGACCAAGCTTTAATTCTTCTGTTACCAGCAGCCACAGATGCTTTTTACCATCAAGGTAACATATCTGTTGTTCCACAAAGACTTGACGCTCTGTTTTTGTTTGCTTGTCTTGTTTTATGTTTGTCTAAGAAAAGGCAACCTGTTTCTTGGCTGTTTTCTTAACTACCATTTCTCAATTCTAAATCAATTTCTTGGTTTTAAATCCTGAAATATGGAGGGGTGCAGAGTGCCTGTTTAGTCACTGCATTGCAAGCAATCGCTTACCTATCATAGGAATACTTTAAATATCTTAATTTTTTTTTTTAAAAAAAAGAGCATGGTTTCAGCTGTGTTATTGGGTCCAGTTTATCTGAAAGTCTTAGCAGTGGGTGCATCAAGATGGCAAGGTAGGCTTTCTGGAATTATTAAGCACTTGTTTTAAATAAGAAAGGACATCTGTTTCCACCCAACATTCTACATGTGCGGGAGTGAGGGAATACAGCAGTGGTTAGAGTGATATTTCTGAAGCCAGTTCTTTGCTGAAATATTAGTCAGAAATGTTTAACTTTTTTCATCGATTATGGTGGAGGAGTTAGCTATTTATAAGCATGTGGTATTAGATATAAAGAATTGTGTGAGTTTTGTAGCATGGCTTGTTTTTCATACTTAGCAGTAAGCTATATATCCCATTGTTTCTAATTAAATTGGGTGTGCAAATAGTGTTCATGCAACCTTCTAATTCACAAATATAAGGATTGCAGTACTTTAGATGTGTTGTTTAGGAACTGTGGCAGAATGGGTCAATAAGCATAGCAATTTTAATTTAAAATGTGTACTCCCAGGTTGATGTTGACTTGCTTTGAGCTTAGTTCCCTACCTTCTGGTAAAAATCATTTTGCAAAAAGTGATATTGTTAATACGAATTTGAGTGGCTGGGAGCCCATAGTATACAAATTTAATAAATAAAAATTCTTCTTTGTTGTATCAAATATTTTCCCTAGCTATCAAATTATTTTCTTTGGTTAGATAATTTAGTATTTGCTTAAAATCACATAGTAACCACCAACGTATAATTGTAAATTTGTTAACCAATGATAAAGATGTTTATAGGACCCATCATTATTATTAAAAGTAACTTTATACTACTGGTGCCAATTTAATTAAAGTTATTGTTAAAATACTAGATAGTCTACCTGTTTAATATGAATTGCCAGTCAAAATCCTTAAATGAAACTAATCTGTTTTCTAGCTATTGATAATGCTGTCTTTTTTTCATGCATATCATTATTTGAACTCCTGAAAATGCTCCTTTAAAAATGGCTAATAAATGACCAAAGATTTGTGGGTCCCTCAAACATCCTTAAAACAACAGGAAAATATTGCAACACCAGAATATTTCTGGGTTCACACATAGCACACAGTCTTTGGAACTTTTTAACCAATTAAAAGGTCTTTGGTCCTTTTATAAATAACCTTTTATCCTGTTTCGTATTCACATGTAACTGTTGACTTAAAATTCTGCTTCCCTTCCTCCTTTTATGTTGTGGTAATGTTCTCTGGGTTTCAATTTTTGGGTTGCCATGCTCTGGTAACTTGGGCCATCACATCAGAAGGGGAGGGGAGGGGAGAATGGTTCCTTGTTTAAGATATAGCCGTTTTTTTCCCTACAGTATTTCACGATAGTCATAATCAATTTTGTCAACTTGTTTCCCTTTTTTTGTAAAAGTTAAATGTGTCAGAATATGAAACATTGATTTAAACAAGTTAATGGGAATTTAAAGAAGAAGAAAAATCCTTGAGTTCAATACTTTCTTTCCCTTTCCCTTTCCCTTTCCCTTTCCCTTTCCCTTTCCCTTCCCTTCCCTTCCCTTCCCTTTCCCTTTCCCAGTCATTCGGTGCCTTTGAGTCAGTGATGATACCTGGAAATGGCCTGGAGAATCTCTCTCCTAGAGAATAACTGACCCAAAGTCACCCAGCTGTGTTTGTGCCTGAGATGGTGGTAGAATTTAAAGTCTCCTAACTTTCTAGCCTGGTACTACTTAGCTGCACCAAAGTATACATTAAAAAGGCTTCTTTGGAGGCTTTAAAGCAATCAAATTGCACCCAAAAAGCCCTTGCAATTAGTTTTCTGTTTATTAAAGAAGAAAGAAAAACCCATAGGCTTCTTCAGATGTTGATAGATGCTGCCTCTATCAACTGCTTAGGCTCTTTGCAGTTTCATTATATTTTACACTTCGAAGAGAAATGAGGTATAATTTTGACATTAAATGCAGGTGTCTTTGTCACTAGAATTTTTGCACTATTATCAAATGTTTGTATTTAAATAGTGATCCAGACAGCTCTGGGATTCCTGCCACACTTTCCTCTTTACTGTGGGAGGGAGCAACCCACAGTTTCCTGTTTGTCAACACTTTTTTTAATGATGTAAAGTATGGTTCATATGGTTCAGGAATGACAAAGGAGAAGAGCAGATGATGATGGTGCGACAAAAAGGAAGAATTCTCCAAAAACAAAATGAATAAAGTGCCAGAGTCTGACTGACTCTGACAGGGCCTGTCGAAAAGAAGTTTCACTTAATCTTTCTTGTTCCTCTCCTATTTACTCTGTTTTTGAAGACCACTTTGATGCCAATAACTCAGTCTGAATGTTAAAACAAATAATAATTTAGCCATAAAGGATTTCTTTAGGGATCACACCTGCATTCCTTTCCTTTCTCCTGTACAATCTCGTATTTAAAATGGGTCAGTATGTTAGAACTTGGCAAAACTATTGCTAGCTTAATCAACATTATGTTTGAAACACGTCAGGATGAAGCTGCTCTTTAATCTTAGTTTGCTTCAACAAATCAGAGTAATGACAAACTTATTGAAAGTTAAACAAAGAAAATTATTTTATTTTCTGTTTTCTTTCTCGCAACCATTTTACAGATTAAAGGTACAATGCTAGTATAGTTTCATTTATAAGGAGATAAACAAGCCTTCTCCAACTTGTTGCCTTGTTATATTTAGAGTACATTGTCCCTCACATTTCAGCCAAGCTGAATAAAAAAATAGTTTTAGCTTCCTGTGGAATTGAGTTCCTGTTTCCCAGTGGGGGCAGACATTATGAAACAATAATCACTGGATCCAGTTTATCTGTAATTTTGGGCAGAAGTCAACATCCATGGTGTGAAGCAAGAATCAGACTGAGAAATTTTCAAATGTTTCCTTCTTCCTTTTTTTAATGACCTCTTCGTCTGTAATAATTGACCTAAGAATTGCAATTTTTACGGTAACATTGTAAGCCAGGTCAGTATCTCTCTGCCTGCCTCATCTCACAATAGAGGAAGCTGGCAGTATCTGAGAATGAAAGATCAAGAAACGAACTTGCAATGCCAAAGTTAAACGTTTATGGCAAAAATAATATTTGACCCAAAGGTTTCTTCAACTGTAACTCAGCCTCACCACTGTACAACGCTTAGTCACCACCTACATTTCTACATAATTATGTGGGCGTGCTCAACATCCATTACTCAATTTATACTAACAGTGTAGTTACAGTCTGATTCTTATCACTTGCTTTGTTGCAAGAAAGTTGCCTGTGTTTTTCTGTTTCTTAGCTCTTCTCCTCAATATAGTCATGTGCTTTGATAGAAATGTTCCTACCATCATAGATTGACTAATGATTAGATCATATTGCCCAGAAGTTCATTCAGTTGTGTTCAGTGGAGTTTCCTCCATTTCAGAAAGTATCCAACTATAGCTGTGTGTGTAGTATGGAACTAGATACCTCACTTTCCTCTTGTTAGAATATTCTCCGGTTCTTCCACTGATTGTGGATGGTTCTGTTAAAATTCTGCGTCCATTTACAGTAGTCCTCACTTTCAACCACATATTCAGCAAGAACAGCACTGAATGAGTGGTACTTACGACCAGTTCTCATAATTGTGACTGTTGCAGTATCCACAATGGGATCACCATTTATGACCTTCTGTGCCAGCTTCCAACAAGCAAATTCAGTGGGAAAGATGGCAGAAGTTGCAAATGTGATTCCCTTGCTTAACAATCTTTGTTGATTTGTTTAACAATGGCAATTGGAAGTGCTAGGATTTCTATGGCTAAACAGCACAGTTACATGACATTGCAGCTTCCCATTTCATCGCTTAGAGACAAAAATTCCAGTCCCAATCATTAACTGAGGACTACTTGTAATCATATAGCTTTTGACTAATTAAATTTTGTACTTTGCCAACAACTTATTTATGATTAATTATCTGAGTTTTGTGTAATACATTTTTTAACTCAGTCAAATCTCTAACAATTCCATCTGTGGGTTGGTTTCTTTTTTCATTTAATCTTGGACTAATATATGCTGTTTATTTGTAGATGCTAAAGCCAGTGAGGTGGTCCTGGCCATTCTGAAAAAGGAATATTGAAAGATGTTATATTTGTCTTATTAACAATTAAGTATTTTAATCTATATCAGTTGTTATCCACTAACCCAATTTATCAGTACATTTTTCTTCATGGTTGTGAATTATCTAATATCAAGATAAGAGACAATAAATCAACCTTTATTATGGTCAAAAACAATGGGTGGGTGAAGTACAGAATATAAAACATAAAATACAAAAATAAAAATCACATAAACAACTAAAAATATCTACAAAATCTAAAAATATTAAATAATAAAAGCAATAAATGTTGGTAAAACAACAAATGAAATCTATCATACCACAAAATAGCAATAACACTTAGACTTATATACCGCTTTATAGTGCTTTACTGCCCTCTCTAAGTGGTTTACAGAGTCAGCATATTGCCCCCAACAATTTGGGTC